TAAAGGGCCGGAGCTGGGTCATGCTGGGTGAGGGTGCTGGGAGATCAGGCGGGGGTCAGGGGGCTCGTGCAGGGCCCCTCATGCAGCGTGGGGCAGAGGCAGGCAGCAGGAATTGCTCCCCCCTGCCCAGCAGCACCCAGTGAGTAGGGGCTTTTTAAAGCACCAGGAGCTGGGGCTGGGCAGGGCAGCCATGGAGGGGCTGGGGGAGCGGGTGGGGGTTGGGGAAGCTGGGGGAGTGAGCGGGGATTGGTGGGGCTGGCAGGGGTCCCTCCATGGTCCCTTCCCCCAGCCCCCTTACCTCCGGCCCTAGTACTTACCAGCTTGGTGTGGCTGCACCAGGGGTTGCCCGAATCATCAAAGCTCTCCGCGTCTTTGCCAAAGATTCAGAGAGCTTTGAATCAATTCGGACCTTTAAATTGGTCCCCCGATTCGATTCAGAGATTCGGCCACCAAATCGGGCCTAATCTCCTCTGAACTGAATTACTGCCCGAAGCTTCACACAGCCCTACACATAAGTATGCCATTGGAGGCCCTAGGCTTCCTTGTACTCATGGAGAAGCTCTGTTCCTGGACTGGGGTAGGAGCAGGTTCCCTTGAGCATCCTAACCTGCTCATTTTGCGGTTGATGCTTGGTGAGCTTGCTCTGGTGGTTGTCCGCCCGTCCCCACCGAGCTTAAAGCCCAGTCAAGCACGTCAACCATTCTGGCTGAGAAGAGCTTTTTCCCCAGTGGAGTGAGGTGGCGGCTGTCTCTTCCCAGCAGACCACTGCCTCTTTCTCCGAAGAGTGGACTGTGGCTGTAGAAGGGGAAGCCTTGACGGTGGTACCAGTGCCACAGTCTTCTGTTTACTGCCTCGATTGTCTCTCCCTCCTCAGTCCATGACCCATCATTAGAAGGATCAAGGAAAAACCCACCTGGACTCCCAACTCCCTGAGCCCTGCTCCCAGAGCCCTGTAGCCACTCATGGGATTGCTTAGAGCCATGTCATTTGTGCCCACATGGATAAGGAGCATAGGATAGTGGTTGGAAAGCTGGATAAGTTTTGAGATCCTCTCAGCCACATCCCGGATACGGGCTCCTGAGAGGCAGCAGACCTCCTGGGCTAAGGGGTCAGGGCGACATATCGTTCCCTCTGTCCCCCTTAGGAGGGAGTCACCCACAATGATCACTCTGCTTTTCATCTTAGGGATGATAGCTGGTCGTGTTTCTTGGTCACTTGCAGTAGCTGGCAGCTCTGCAGGCTCTACTGGTGCTGCAAGAGGTTCGTACCTGTTGTAGAGATCCATGGGGGTGGTGATCCTGGTACAGTGAACCTTGGGGCCAGAGACGAATTTTGTCCAGCCCCCTCGCTGGACAGTATGGGAGTGCCTCTTGGCCTCCCTGGTCCTGGCAGGGGACCTAGGTCGCTCATCTGTCCTGGTTGAAGGGCCTGGCAGTAGGAGTCAATCTCTGTTTGCCATCCCTGATGTCACACAGCCTCTGCACCGTGGTCTGGAGCTCCACTATCTGGAGCAATACGGAGCAAACCTCCCAAGGGGAGGTTGCAGTGCTCCTGATCCCATGTGTCTGGAGTTGTGCCAGGCGGCCCCCACAGCCCGGAGCCAGGGGCTCATCTGAATGGAGACTGGAACCGTGGGTTCTGTCTGGGTTGAGGCCTCGGAAGTACCAGAGGGGAGGGATCCAGCCACAGGGGGAGCCTCGGGGTGCGACCTGTCTCACCCACCATTGCACCGGTAGTAGTTTGGCTACTACTGTGCCAACCGGTCCCTTGAGGCTCTCTGCCTACGGCCTCAGGCCTGCCTTGTGTTTTCTTCTGCCACCATTCACCCCTGGGCTTGCCCAGGCCCAGATCAGCAACTCATCCTCATTCAAGTCCCTCTTTAAACTCTCTTTTGTGATACCTATAAAAGGCTTAACTGTGGCTCAACCATTGCTAAGACATCCTGCTAACTGCTATTGTCTCTTTGTTTCCTTGTGACCCTAAATGTCTGTCCAGGTCCATTCTCTTCTGTTTTATGCTTGATTGTAAACTCAGGGCAGCACTGTGTTTTGGTTATGCATTTGTACAGTGCCTGGCGTGGTGGAACTCAGCCTATAATTCTGGTCCCTACTCAGGACTGCATTACAAGCAGTTAATTATATCTGCCAGCCCTGTACTCATCCTGGGATATGAAAGCCAAGCAGGGCTTTTTCTGGCTTATATTACCATCAACAAAAGATTCAGTAATTTGTTAAAAACTCTGTGGTCAGTGGTTGTATGAGCAAGGAAAGACTCCAGGAATACTGGCTTCACAGTTGTGTTGACTTTTCGTGCTGGCTGGAGTAAGAAACAGCAGAAGCTAGACTTGCTCAGAAAATAATTCTGAAATGTTGACTGTATGTTGAAACTTGAAAAGATAAGGAAAAAGCATTTTTTGGAAATTTCCTCCCTTTTTATGACACCAGTAGGGCTCATATAAATTTTTCAGGTGTCAGATTGTTTTAATTTTGGGAAAGGGGAAACCAGTTTTGGCAGATTTCCCCCCTGCTTTAACCGGATGTAGTAAGAACTTATTTAATTCAGTAAACTCAGCAGATCTGACTCTGAAGATGTTGGTGGACTAGCTCTGTGGGAGCCATTTTTACACAGGCATTTGAGGGTTTGCTTCTATGGCCTTTCTTATGCTGAATAGCCTCTCATACTCATACTCAAAGGTATGACTTAAGTATACGCCTGACTAACTGCTACTGCAGAACCGGGCTGAAGAAGGAATTTGAGATAAAGCCATTCAAAAAACAATGTCACATTTGAAATGTCTCTTTGCTTTCCCTGTACAGTACTCCAATTTTTTATGAAGTAGGTGTGTTTTACAGACTAGAGCAGAGCTGGTCAAAAAAATTCTAGCAGAGCTATTTTCGGTACAGTTGTAGTTCTGTTGATGCTGAAGTGTGTTGTAGGAATATGTTGATTTAAAAAGAAAAATATTAATGGAGAAAAAATTTAAAACTTGTTTTGCAACAGTAATGTTAACATGTTTTGATTTGGTAAAGTAATCGTGTTTTATTTTGACTTCGTTTCTGTTAATTTTCATTTGATGTTTATATGCTATACAATATTAATTTGACTGTGATTTAGTACATGCTGTATTTTAATATTGTAATATAGTATACAAGCTGAATGAATGGACATTCTTGATATGTAGCATTCCTATACAGTAGTTCAAAATCTACATTTTCCAGTTTTTTTGTTTCGTGGGAAATTTAGAAATTTCATTTTTTTGCTCAGACTTGAAATGAATAAAAATAGAAATGTCAGAATTGTGTATGGAGTGGAATAGAAATTCTGGTTTCTGGCCAGCCTGTTGTCAAGGAAGTGCTTCAAGGCTTATGCTGGCCTCTCCCTGTTAGACTCCAGGCTGAACCTAAACACAAGGTGTTGTGGCAGAGCAGTTAAGATGCTCTGCTTTGGCCCCAAAGTTGTGAATACCAGCACTGCTCCAGAATTGTGCCAAAAGCCACCTCCAGTTGACTTGGCTGTAAATATGTCTCTGGCCAGTCAGGCTGGGGGGGTCAAAGGCAGCTGGACTTGATGCTGGCCACATCACTGCCCTCTATACAATTCATTACAGAAACTGGTGTACCTTAGTCATACTTGGTTCACAAGGATCCTCCATCTGAAACCTACCGAGGGGCAGATTATGCCATATCTGTCTTCTCTGGGCTTCACATACCTTCTCCTGAAATTGCTGGCAATGGCAGAGAGAGTATATACACTTATTCCTCCCATCACAGGACCCCAGAATTTGCCTATAGGTCCATTATGAGGCAGTGGCAGTAGTCTAGTGACACCTTGCAGGAGCTCCTGCCATTTAGAGTACTGAGCATATTGCAGAGCTTATGATGTCCTCTTCTTCCAGGTGACCCTTTTCATCTACTCAGACTTGCTGCTTTTCACTAAGGAGGATGAGCCAGGGCGCTGCAATGTGCTGAGGAATCCTCTCTATCTGCAGAGTGTAAAGCTCCAGGAAGGTGAGTGTGTGCAGCAGGCCAAAGCCTTTCTCCTGTGGTTCATGTGGGCAATGATTGGGTCAACCCAGCACGGCAGGGCAGTCAAGCTGGGCCGTCTGGGCCAGCACCTGCTTTGTTCCTAGGCATGGCAGGAGTTTCAGAAGTACACGATCTCTCCTTCCACTTGTGCTGCTGAACCTACACGCCAGGGAAGGAGTCCAGGACATGGGCTCACCCTTCCCTTATGGAGGCCAGTCCAGCCCTGCCCATTATTCCCTGAATACAGATTTGCATGGTTTAATATTCAAAGCGTACAGAGTACTAGGAATAGCTCTGATTTCCATAGCCTGTCACACCTCTTGTGGTTACCACAAATGGAACAAGGCCCTTCTGGGATGAGGGGCCATCCCTTCCAAAGATGCTGCCGTGCTGTGCCGTGCTGCACCCGCCCTCCCGGTGCTGCATTGTGTACAGCGGTAGTTAGCTAAGGCTGAGAAGGGAAGTGGAGTCTTGAGGTTTCCCCCCTGGTGCTTGAAGAGAGCACAGCAGCTTCCTCCACAGGAGTCTGACTAAGCCCTACTGACCTTTACTTGCCCCACTTCCCCTGTCAACCACCCACCGCTTCCCTCCCAAGCTAGCTGGGGAACTTCACACATCCACGTTGCAAAATGCTGAGGTCTGAGGGGAAAAGGCAAAGAGCAGGCTGGCTGGGCCAGGCTGTAAGCATTTTTCTCATGCAGGCTGCTTTGCCTGGCTGTTACACCCCGCTGCTTGTTTGGGAGAGGGAATTTCAGCAGCAGAGAGGTCTTGGGGGCAGCGGTGAAATTAGTTCATGCCAGAGAACATGGAGCATGACCTTGGCTGCTCAGATACAAAAGAGGAACAAAATAATTGCTCCATTCTTCATTTCCTATGTAGAGTCAGCTCTGGACCTTGATCCCAATCCCACCTCGCTCCTTCCTTCCTGGTGCAGCTAGTCTATTTGGTTACAGGTAAAAATACCCTTGAAAAGTCTGAAGAAGCAGTTCTCAGCCTGCAGCTTACAGGAGCAGCTGCTGGGGCCTAAGCGTGCTTTAAGGGCGGTAGCTGAGGACCGTACGGTAGAGGCACTGAAGAACCGAGCTGGTATTCCTTGGTACTCACAATTGAAGTTGGTGAGATGTGCATTATGGCACTGCAGCCTTCTGTTAACCCAAACACTGGCATGGGGGGGGAGAGGGGGGTAATCAAGCTCTTACCCCCCTGTGCAATTTGGGCAGCTGAAGAAATCTCAGTGAAGAGAGACCTAACTACAGCTGTGCCCTGCTTTTCTGTCATGGCTGAGGAGTGCAGCAGGGCTGATGTGTGTACCTGTATTTGTGAGGTGTTTCTGAACTGGTTGGGATGGGCTGATTTCCCCATCCCTCCTCCCTCCGAGGCCACTGTCCTCCATTTGCTCTGGTTCTGCTGTTTTCTGTCCCAGCGTCCTGCCCACCTGGCACTAGGAGCCTGTGTTGACTGTTGCGAGTGCTTATTCTAGGACCGGGCTGTGACTAATGAGTTACTCAGGGGGATTCTCACTTCCCATTTGTGAATCTTATGTGGATAGATTGTGATTTTCTCCAACTGATTTGAAATCTATGAAAATTAGTCTTGCCTGTCAGCTTGTTCCAGTTCATTGTGGGCTTTTAGTATTGAATGTTCGAGCCGTTTCAACTGGATCCAAAGGTCACCTGGTCTGTTTCTCTTCCTTTAGCACATGGGACGTAGCATTTCTTGGTTCCTGGAGCATTACTGCAAGTAAAGTCCTCTGCTGGGGAGGATGAATGCAATGGGGGTGATCCAGGCAGAACAAACTCATTTAGAAATGAGATTGAGTACTTTGTGAGGATTTTTTGGCTCTCTTTGCCCTGTGCTGCTTATTCTAATGACTTGATGTGGAAATGTCCTTTGTGAAGTACTTTTTTGTTGGCCTCCAGCCCTGTAATGGTAAGTTCTGGAAAGGCACATATTTTGATTGCACAGCTTGGCAGATCCTGACTGAGATGTCAGATGGCCTTTTCAATCTGAACTGCCGTCAAAGTCTGCTTCTTCCTCTGGTCTTGTTCAGGAGCTCAAAGAAGTTGGCTTTGCTTGTGCCTGTCCCCGTGGCACTGACGTTGACTCTCAGTGAAGCCTGTTTGCAAGTCCTGCTGTACTGCTGTGCACCTTTACCCTCCTGCGTGTCAGTCTGATTCCTCAGGCAGTTACCTTTTTCCTTGAAACTATAACTGCTTGGCTCAGTCCTATGTCAGAGTGTCTAACGAGGAAGGACAGTGACCACCCCTGAAAAGGAGGGATGTTTCTTTTTGAATAACCTTGGCTGGGATTTCGATGCTTAGTGTAATATGCTTCTAGACACCAGCCCTGAGTATGGATTAAACTGGTCTGTCACGAAGGTGTATAGGCTGACCCATATAAACCCCTCTCCACCTCCATCATTCCCTTTTGGCAGAGACTTTTTGTTGGTCTCCTAACTCACTGAATGGCACATTGATAGGAACAGGCGTATTGCTGAGTATAACAATTGAGACATCTCCGGTACACTGAAGACCATTGTGATGTTTCCTGTTTCTGTTGCTTACTGCACTGTGCAAAGGCAAATCAATATAATCTGCTTTACAATGCTCTGTTTTCCTGCTTTAGAAGCCCAACATGGCTGATGAGCATTGCACCAGCCAATGTTTTCAAGGGGCCGGCTAGCTTCCTCAGTAGATACTGTGGGAATTTCCATCTCAAGTTACCGCCTTGCTGGGGAACCGCACCCCTCCTGGCATGCATGTGCATTAGTTTAGTGCTTAGCAGCAAAAAATCAAGGGCCCTGCTGTGAGATCTTCCCAGTTATGGTCCTGTCTCCCACCCGTTTGGGATCCCAGAGTGAGAACAGTCATCTACTTAATGCCGCTTTGCTACCCACCTGCAGGAGCTTGGAGAGGTGCTACACTTGAACTAACCTCTCATGTAGTATGTTGTCTGTGGGCTGCAGTGATCTAGTAGATAGTGCTGGTAAAACTGCTCAGGTCATTATAGCCTGCTCCCAACCCTCTGCTGCTCGCGTGGTTCAGTAGCTCTTTACTTGGATCTATTCTTGGGTCTTCTGTTTACCTTTTACTGGAAAGGAGACCAGAGGTGCTGGTGTGTTGGGAAGATATTGCTTACATACAAGTCTTTTAACATGTGATGAATAGCTCCCCTTACCTCCCCATCAGTGGCTCTGTGGAAATATAGCTTCCTTAGGGAGGGAGAGATTCAGCACTGAATGGATGTGTACTTTGTAAAACTCATTTGTTCCCTGTCAGTACACCAAGGAGACATGAGCAGGCCAGCCCAGTGGTGCTTTGGAGGAACACTCTCAGGTTAATTTGAAATGCTAAAGCCCAACCTGAAGTTTAATACTTTTGAGAAGAATCTTAAACATCTTGGATCCTGGTGGGTTTTGTTTTGCTCTGCTGTTTGGCTGCAAATTTTCTTTTAACACATCTCTGAGCACAGCTTGATCAAAGACTATTTGTTTGTCTGACAGAAATGGTGTATGACGGTGAGCATGGCATGTGTATAGAATAGACTGTGCTAGCTATCTGGCTGTCATCTTCAGAGGGCTGGGGTCTCTCTCAGGTTGGGAATGACTGTCCACTTAGGCTTGTCCCTAGTTTGTTTCAGGTTCTCATGTCCTAGCCCAACACTGCCATGGTTTGAGTTGCAAAGGTAGCTGGGTAGGTTCCTTTGGGACTTAAAATATATTCTGGTAGATCTTGTAACAGCCTCTGTGTTTGTGCTTCAGAATCTACATTTGGGTCTGTCCTTCCTGGCACTGTCCCTCTCATACAGTCTCTGGCAGTCTGTCTGCAAAGGCAATTCTTCTGTCCATAGCCTCCTACTATACACAGATACATGCCCACAAACACATGTAGTTCAATTCTCAGGATTTTATTCTGAGGTTTGTAATATTTGGGGCTTTTTGTAAAGCCCAGCACCTGAAGTCTTGTGATGATGGAAGAAACTTAGTTTCCATTTGCTTTACATCTAATGGCTTGTGAAAGAAGGCAAATAAAAAAACTCATTATCTTGCTCCACACATTCATGATTTTTAAGCCTGTCTTGTGATTTGGAGTGATCTGACATTGTTTTTGAATGTTTGGTGCCGATAATGTGCCTGCATATACACATCCAGACACACATACTTGTACACACACAGCAAATTTCCATGCAAGGTTAATTTGGTGCTGCTTGAGGAGCACACACAATGTGGCTTTGCTCATCCTTTTCAACCAGGAGTTGTTGCACTGGGGGCCTATGGTGTTTGTGCTGCCTGAGTGCTGAAGAAGGCTTTCTGCTTTCCCTGTTCATTTTGTGCCCGCACAGTGAATGATCAGTAACTCCAGCCAGGACTGGGACTCTGGGGTTTTCCATGGTGCTAGCAGCTCTGTGTCAGTCCCATGTAGCCTGCTCTCATGGAAAAATCTGTGGTTGTGGGGAGCAGTAAGCAAGTGATTCAGAGGCCTTGTAAGCTTTGCCTACTGGTTCTCATGACAGGTCATGATCACTGACCTCTCCTCTTACCCTCTGCAGTAGATGTAAAATGTCTGAAGTGGATGTTTGATCACTTAAGAAAACAGACCTTAGATCCCAGCACTGGTGAGCCGGTAGGCGGCTGGTGACCTGTCCTGGATCCCACTCCAGTAGGTGGCTGGTGATCTGGGGGCTTGTAGAAGTGATCAGTAGAGTTGGAGTTCATGTTTGTATCTATAACTCTATGGAAGGGTGTTTGCAGCTTGGAAGGCAAATCAGTTCCAATGATCTTGTGTTTTTGTTCTGTTGCATGAAACAATTGTCACTTTGGAAGCCTAAGTAAAATAGATACAAAGATCCAGAGCCCTTTCCAAGGCTCCCACAAGCCAGTCTTGTGCCCTTAAGGGGTGTGGCACATCTGGAAGGATGGCACTTGTTTCTGACCTTGGCCCACCATTTGGGAAGCCAGATATGAATCCTTGGAGAAGTGTGGC